AATAAGTTCAGGGCGTGAAATTAAATAAATTAGAAATCGCTTTTATAGACGAAAGTGTAACGCGCCAACCAAAAAAAGTGAGCAATTACGACCATTGGATTTATTCTCACCCTACGTGCAGAGTCGAAAGGCTTCTGCAATCGCCAGAACTGCTCAATTGACCGATTATCTGGCTTTCTGTAGTACCCAGAGGTCTTCGCGTAGTTAGTTCTACATAGAGGGCAGCGAATTGGATGAAAAGGCGCCACGAGGTGGCGCTGTTCGCGCTTCGCGCGTATATCCGGGCTGCAGATCGTCGAGCATCATGATTGTGTTGAAAGACGTGTGTTGACGTTAGTTCTTGGAGTAATCATTCTTAATCAGTCAGAATTATTACTCCAAGCTAGGTTAGTTGCAGCTTGGTCTGTACGTGTACGTTATTGTACGGGGGTGGCGTTGGAACTGTTACTTAAGCTGTGTTTACACTATCATAAACTTTCTGTTAATGTTCTGTTATGTTGAAAAGGTGACGAGTTGATCAACTTTTCAACTAATCCACCGACAGCCGGCACTGTGAACGTAAAATTTGAGCGCTCAACAAGCTGATAGTGATAGCCTAGGAACTAGTTGAGAAATTAGAACATGCTCTATTTTCTGAACTTTTGGTCAGCGAGTTGATCCAGTGGCAGTGTTTGCCACTCAGCCATTCCGATAATAGCATATACAGGCGGTGTGTACCTCCACCCAGGGGAAAGCATATTTTTGCTATTGCCGTAACCACCCTGGTACGAATTAATACATGAAAAAATGTGTATCCACATCGCCCCACGCGCACACTGGGTCAAATGTTGCAACGTTTGCCTACGTGCAGTCCATAATGAAAAAACGTTGAACATCTGATATAGAGAGGTTGATAAAACGTTGAAAAACTTATCAACTCGTCAACTTTTCCACAGTGTAAACACAGCTTTAAATTAGTATTACAGTATTACTGTCACTAATATCAGGGTTCTTCAAGGGCACTTTGAGGCTCCAAGCCTAGCGGCCTGCCAGCGTCTATTTTTTCTGTACCGCAAATGCGTAAACGTCCTACACGGGTTTCTCTGATTGGCTGCTTTGATTTGCTTTGACGCAACAAACCTTCAAAACAAGAGAACAAACGCCCATTTGTAAATATTTGTTTTAGTTCATCATCAGTAGATAAGTAAGTTTTCTGATGTATTTCTGGTGCAACCGCACACACACCGTTAGTTTTCACAGGGTTTAGTTTCACGCTGCAATGCCACGCTGCGCCACATGTAGATTGCGCTATAGCTTTATTGCAAACCGGACATTATAACCACATTACTGCCCATTAGCGCGAGTCGTCTTTTCATGCTGTAGCATCTTAAACCCACACATTACACATCTAAAGATATCTCTATATCGCCTCTATTATTAAATTGCCGCAATGTGCCATCAGCCCTACGTCATACCCCGTCGGCCATCTACGTGGGCCGGCCGATGGGGCGTAAAACATCTCCACCCCCGACTCGCCAATGGCCATTTATTCCATCATCACCTTAGAACTGTCAATAGGCGCTAATAACGGACCCTATGCCTTCCCTGTAGCCAGCAGTGATTGGTAGAAGCATATTTGGTAGTGGTATCGCAGCTCATCTTGCAAGATCGGGGGTATAAAACAGCCTGCACGAGAGATACGAGGCTCTCGCTCTCACCCTTGTCTGTTTCTAAATTTACTGTGTAGCGCGCAACCTTTATTTTTACCCTGTGTGATTTGTACATGCTTTTAGTGAGTAAATAATATACGGTGAAGCGGCAGTTGTGAACTACATCCCTCTATTCTAATTTTATTCCTGTTCTTACACACAATTACACTACAATTGTGCACCCATTTCACGGCGCACATAGCACACAGCTATAGCGCACAGTTGTCCGGCAGCAGAAATGATCCAGCGACTACAATATATAAGATATAAATATATCGCAAACTCGTGTTATTCTGCAGCTACAAGAATTCTGCAGCTACAAGGGTCGGTCGGTCATACATAGAAAGATTGTGTATCGTATTGTATTGACATTGGTTGACAACCAGGTCTTGTTATATACACCTGGCAGCAGATCCAAGAGAGACCAAGGGTACGAGATGAGGCGTTGCGCGAAAAAGATCATTGTCCCCGAACCGCCCGAGAGCGTTAAGCCGCGCACTTTTAAGACTAGGGTCCCGGACTGGGCCGCACGCCATCGCGGTAAATTGTTTGTAATGTAAGCATTTCGCGCTGCCCGCATATAAAAGACGAATTCGCAGCGCGCGGAAGGAGGGCGGCGCGCGAATCCGTATAGCGGGAAAGCGTAACATCGCGCAGTTATTCGTCACACCTACACCGGCGTCGGCTGACGGCGGGCATTTGCTGCTGCTGCTTGAGCTTTGTTGCGCGCTTGCGCGGACAGGGGCGAGTATTTGTTGTGAGGCTGCTTTGCCAGCCAGTATCTACAGATTAGCATACGTGTAAAAACTGCACGGCCAACGCCACCACGATGCTCGCAGTATTCCTCGGCCAAGCGAAGAAAAATTTTCGCAAACGGTAATAACATAGCAAAGAATAATAGCGCCTTGTGATTGTTGCTTCGATTTGCTTGCATTGACAAGAGATATAGCAAACGCCCTATTTTTGAGTGGCGTTCGATGATTGCTTCCCCAAGTTAACCTGGGTCTACTCAGGCAGCCACCAAATACCGTTCGATTTGGCAGTCCACGTGGTATTATTTCGTTTACCCCGGGTCAACGCGTGTGAGAATGAAGTGAGCGCTCGCCCGAAGGTGCTCACTTGGGGGGGGGAAAGAAGTATCCCGACAATCATTGCAACATGCCATGCAGTGGCGACGATATCTATTGACGGGATCAGTGCTGCATGAATGTGAGCAGTGTGAATTGACTGCGTGTGTTTGGCTCAAGGAACGGTGAGTCATAGGATGTATGTTTTATTACTGGACATGCTCAGATTCAGATTCATTTCCATTTTTGCAAGGNTCTCTCTCCCTCTAACCATCACAGCTTCCTCTCTTCCTCTAACCATCACGGCTTCCTCTCTCCCTCTACCCTCTAACCATCACGGCTTCCTCTTCCTCTCTCGTAATTAATAGTGTAATTAGTAATTAATAGTGTAATTAATAAACAATAGTGTAATTAGTAATTAGTAATTAATAGTTTACTTAATAAGCAATTGTGTAATTAGTAATTAGTAATTAATAGTGTAATTAGTAATTAATAGTGTACTTAACAAACAATAGTGTAATTAATAATAAATCATATACTAAAAATAAAAATACACGTAACATAATTTTTAGTGGTATAATAGTAGTATTTTTGTCCGATAGATAGCGCTTTTTAGCATGGCTATGTGGGCAGGTAAACATTTGTATTTTGTACATTTGTATGTGGGCCGGTAAACATTTGTGCATCATTCCCGGTAAGTAGATTGTCGCCGTCTTGTAGTACACTGTACAGAAGACATTGCACCATCACACGTAACTTTTACTTGATTAGTGCAACTATGAATGTATCATTGCCATTGTCCTTATTAAAATGAAGGCACGATTGCTAATATATTAATTATTTATAACTATAACTTATAAGTAATAAAGTATGCTATTCTTAGGCTTACTCGTGCCTTTAGTTTTACACCCGCATGTGTTTCACTGCCGTCTTCTATGGATCGTGTTTATGTTATTACCTACTTTTACTACAAATACAGTTACTTGTGAGGCATGAATGGACACGAAAGAGCCTACGTATCTGTGATGCAAGATGAAGCTGGGGTTGACGAAGACAATGCGTTTAAGGGTGACGATCTGCACAGCATAGAGCTTCAGAAGTTCACGGGCAAGAGCAGCTTGTACGTACCCCGCACGGCGCCTCTCCCACCTGAGCCCGACGTGAGGACGTGTGGGCTTCCACTGTCACGTCTGCGCAGCTGCTGCTTCATTCTCTCGATCGTACTCGCATTTGCATTTGTCCTTGTCTTTCTGTTCGTGGTGCCGTGCCACGACAACTGCGTCTCCTGTGATAAACCCCAATCCGACTGGACACGTGAGTTTCCGAACAGTGACTCACACTCACTGGTGGTAGTTGAACTGGAGGATGGGAGCAAGGTCATTCTGGTGCCTTACACAAACTTTGCTGAAGGAGTCGTAACGGACTGTGGAAATGAAGGTGGGCACAGATGTTGGAAAATGTTTATGAAAAATGCTAAAAATTTACATGAATTACATGCACTGTATCGGGCTAGTTATGTAATGTTGCACCTCCACATGATACTCACAGTGATGTGATTGAATGGGAAAAATTCTATATTCAATGAACAAAAATTTCCAAAAATTAAATTAAATGTGAAAGTTCTAATGTGTTGTTACACATTTTTGCATTTCTTTCCATCCACAGCGGATACTGATAGTTGCCCGGGCGGAGTAATGGCGCTCTCGGGAGATGACGGGGCCATCCTGTGGAGAACAGGGCTGAATGGCCGCCCCCGGTCGCTCATCTGTGCAACACTACAGGAGCTACAACGACAAGAATGCTTCCTTATTGCATCTGGAGACTCCCTGGCCAATGTGGATCCAGAAAACGGTGCGAGAAGAGCTAGGGAACCCGTCAGCAGCATGATCGTTATGCTGGAAATTGGATCCTCTCATTCGGATTCGGGATTGTAAATCATGTTGAAAACAAGCAGGGCTTCCTTTGACTACATTTTTCACGCTACATGCCCCTTTACAGCTTTAAACGATTGTTGTTTGCTTTTCTCTTAAAGCCACACAATGCGCATCCAAACGCTAATTTTTCCAGTACTAGACTAGCAAACACTTCTTGGCATGCATAATCACACTACCTTATGACAAAATAAACTCTAGTTGCTCCCATTTCACTGCGCGTTTGCTTAAAACCCACAAGAAAGAGGTGAGAAAACTGGCATTCTGGCGCTAACGCCGGCTTATTTGCCAAACAATTTAGCCTCGAAGTGGTTAGGGTGGCATCAGTGTCACGTGTTTTTATCTTTGCTACACCCGTACCGCTGTACCGCTGCACGGTTGCTTGGGGAAACTGTCAACAACATCGGAGAATATGAACAACATTGGAGGTATTTTCAAATACTTTTTATAAGACAACGGGCAGTGAAATGGGAGGAACTAGAGTT